GGGAGAGAGATAAAGAGCTAGAAACATCGATGAGAGAAAAACATCGACCAGCCGCCTCCTGCACACCCCACCAGGGATGTGCCCGCAACCAATGTACATGCCCTTGACCGGAATCGAACCCGGGACCTTTCAGTCCGCAGACCGACGCTCTACTGCTGAGCCAAACCGGTTTGGGCTAAAAGCCCCTTAAAAAAAAAAAAAGACATTAAAGCAATTCAAAAGTTCTGTTCATCAGAAGCAATATGAGCGCCATAGAAGTGAATTGGAAAGGTTTTCATAAGAAGCTGTTTTGGGAGTCCTGCAGACTGCTCAGTGGGTGTGGGGTGGTCAGGGGGAGCATTCATTGCATGTAGGCCAGCATTTCACCACCAGAAACTGATCAAAGAATGGTCTCCGAACCTGTGTTGTGCATTCACCCTGAGGATACTCTACTGGTTTTCTCCTGTTATTTCTGATTTAATAGAATGTTTCCAGTGAAAAAGCTTAGAGGACTTAAGACTGTGACAAATAATCAGGTACTCAAGGAAAGCAACTTAATACTGTCTTTGATTAGCTTTAAAATAGAGTACTAGTAAGGGCAAAAGACCAGGCTGCTAAAAGATAAGCTGTTCGTAAGGGGCTTTAATTGAAGAACAAATGCCAAGATGAGACTTTAATGGTAAGCAGTTTTTGTTGTCTCCTCAACCGGGAGTTCAATAGGGAGACCTGGAGTTCCATCGCTCATTATAATGTACATTGACCACTAGGGGATGATGCAAAACGAAGGAAAGCCCTGACTGGCAGTCAGAAGGCTCCCATCAGCCCTGATTGCTGGCCAGGCCTAGGGACCCTACCAGTGCACAACCTTCATGCACCAGGTCTCTATTATATAGATACCATGTTTCCCTGAAAATAAAACATCCTCCAAAAATAAGACCTACTTACAGATTTCCTTCTGAGTGAAATATAAGGCATCACCCCAAAAATAAGGTCCCCCAAGGCTCTATCTCAGAATGAAAATTAATTTACCGTAAACTGGTCGCTAGGGCCACCCCGACTGGTGTCTAGCAACCAGTGATGTTACGCAAATCCTGACATCACTGCTGTGTGGAGGTGGAGCGGAGTGAGCGGTGAGCGCGGGGCGGGAGAGAGGAGGAGACTTTCGCAGATGCGTGTAAACAGGATGATTAGAGCGGACTGGACGCAGCGAAGGTGGTGAGTGCTGGTCTGTCTCTGGTGACACTAGCTGATGCTCGCGGCCGCCCTCATGATGACTGAAGGTTCTCAGTCAGTGGCAGACCCTGCTCCAGCCCAGATCCAGGCCCCAGCAAGCCCAGTGACAGTCCCTAGGTAGGCCCCAGGGGGTAAATGTCTGATAAAGGGGTAGGGGTGATGTCTGGTGAAGGTGTTCAGTGGCACAGGGGTGGGGGGGGGATCACTTAAAATGACACAGGGGGGATCAGAGGGAGCAATCAAAATGACACAGGAGGATCAAAAGGGGTTACTAAAATGGTAATCCCTCCTGATTCTCCTGTGCCATTTTGATTCCCTCCTCTGATCCCCCGTGTCATTTTAAGTGATTCCCCTCCCCCCACCTTGATACCCCAATTCCTTTTTTTTTACCCCTAGAAATGAGCGCAAAAAGAAAAAGCTACTCCGTGGAGTACTAGAAAGGAATCGTGGAAGATTCTTGGGGCCAAAATCTTACTGCTTTCTGCAAAGAGAAAATGTTGAGTATCCGATTGGTCCGAAAATGGCGAGCAGAGTATGGTAGCCTCATTGAACAAGTGGACAAGGGAAATGCTAAAAAGCGCAAGTGTGGATCAGGTTGGTAACCATTATTTTCCGAGCTGGAAGACCTGATCTGTGAATAGGTTGTAGACAGGAGAACAGAGGCTTTGATTGTGAATAGGGCACAGATTCAAGAATTTGCCCTTGCAATGGCACCACAGTTTGACATAGTCCCCGAAGACTTTAAAGTATCACAACACTGGCTGGATAATTTCCTTCAGCGAAGTGAACTGTCTTTAAGAAGATCTACAATATTCTTTAGGTTGGAAGATACTCAAGTTATTAAGCGAGCACTTGCATTCAAGTCCTTTATTGATGATGCTGACTTCTCTAAATACAATCTTTCCAACATGATTGCTATGGATAAAACTGCAGTGTTTATGGGCCAATCATCTCAAACAACAATTGAACAGCAGGGTGCCTCCTTAGTGTACATTCCCTCCACTGCTTACGAAAGTGAACATGTTTCCTGTATTTTGGCAATTCGTCTAGATGGCACTAAAATCCCACCTTTAATCATTTCTAAGGGCAAGAAGGAAAAGATTGAACATGTTTTGGGCGTTTTTATTCTTGAAACTGAAAAAGCCTGGGCCACACAGTTAAAAGGAAGTAGGTTGATTTAATGCTGCCACTTGTTATGCGAGGGAGCCAAAGAAATCTGCTAGTCTGGGATGCAGCCAGCACTCACCGTGCTAAAGACATGAAGACATTTCTTGATGAAAGAAAAATAGATGAGATAATGATTCCCTCAGTAATGACGGCCTATCTCCAGACTCTTGATATTGCAATAAACAAGCCATTCAAAGACAATTTGTGCATGGAAATTAATGACTACATTGAAAATAGAATGGAGAGAAATCAGCGTGGAAACTTTGTGAAACCTAAACTGCAAGAAGTTGTGACTTGGGTGAAGAATTCATGGGAGAAAATCACTGACAGTTGCATTGCAAATGCACTCTGAGCAGGCTACCCTGACAAGAAGTACTCATTTAAAGACAGTGCTATTGCTAAACATGAGAGATTTGGTCCACTGATTCTGAAAGAAATGTGGGAGTCACAAGAAATTCATCAGAAAATTCAGGAATTGGATTGTTAGGATGATATTCCAGAAAATGATATCATGATTGTCATTGAATAAATGAGTAAATTCTTGATACTGTAGGATTCACAGTCTGTCTGGTTTGTGTTGACAACTACCATACTACCGTACCGTATACAGGTAATAAATTTCCTTTATTTTCATTTAACAATAAATGTATACCGTATTCTTCATGGAAAAATAAGACATCCCCTGAAAATAAGACCTAGCACATCTTTGGAAGCAAAAATTAATATAAGACAGTGTCTCATTTTCGGGGAAACAGGGTAAGTTCATTATAATTTATGCCCCCTGAACTTTGCCAAATGCTGCTTCTTCATATATATGTCATATATATCTATTTTCAATAGAGCAAAAAGCTTAAGGGTTTCTGTATGGAATATATACACCTTGTAGTTAGAACTATGTGAATGATATCCAGATTTTTTAATTCATTGGGGTGATAGTGATTAATAAAATTATATATGTTTCAGGTGTGCAATTCAATAATACATCATCTGTACATTGTATTTTGTACAGATGATGTATTACCATGCAGGAATTTCAAAAGAAGCTTAATGGAGAAAAGGCATCATTAATAATTTATACAATATCCCCTACAATATCAAACTGCTATGTTGGGTAAAATAGGTACCATAAACTAGGGGTTTACTATCAGTGGCATTTGTTCATGTTTAGCATTCTATACCCAGAACTAAAGCACACATTTCCTGGGTCCCTGACATTATATTCACTCAGGTGAGCACTAAACCCAGAAGAATATATTTGTTCATTCCCCTTGGGAAACTTCTAAAATTTAAAATGTCGTTTGAAGCAAAATTTTGTAGTCAAAATATTTGTAATCACTTAGGGTAATAGCATATTTTGGCTGGGTAGTTTTTATACAAATATAGCACTCTCTTACCTCAAAAGTGGGGAAATAGCAAATGTAATTATTCTCAGGGTAAGTCCTCATTCCTAAAGCCCCTTGGGTTAACTGCCATTAGATTTATTATAAGGGATTCACAACAAAGAAACTCAAAATTATTGGGAGAATTCATCGGAATTTCAAGTTAAGAAACACTGCTTGTAACATTGAGAAGAACCGCAATATACTTCAAACATACAAATGCCACAAAACTTCTTGATGTAAAATATCCAGACACTTCTTAAGCATATTTTATTTTTAGGCTTTTGCATGTTTACATGTGAAACAGATGTGACTCAATTTAAGACACTCTGGTTGGAATGCTTTTCCTCTCCACCGAAAAACTCCACTTACTTTCAAAAGGAGTCACACCATTCAGTTCCTGTAAAAACATGAGGAGTACCTCATCTGAACTAAATTCCACACAACTGGAATTTATGCAACTCTCTAAGAAACAATTAAATTATTTGGTCTTCAGAGGCACCTTAATGAGATATTTTTATTCTCTCCATTTTAAAATGGAGGGTTTGAGCCGGAGTCACAAAGCTAATGGTAGGATATGAACCAATGAAACCTTTTTTCATTGCCTCACTGTCCGTAGATGTGGATTCTAGCTCTGCATGGACACCACTCTCAACATCTGGGGCCCCCTAAAAGGAGGAGTTCACCTCTGCTCTGAACCCCTTCACCTCTATAAGGAGGGTGCTAATGGTCTGCTCTGTCTTCCAGAATTGTTGGGAGAACATGAAATAAAGCGAACAAAAGGCTTTTGGAAAGTTCAAAGCACACTATAAATGTGCCATGTGCTAAATATATCCAACTCTGAATATTCCAGCAACACAGATGACTTTCTAAAATACAGAGAAGGCTCGAACAGTGAGTGCCACCTTGGGATGTCTTTTACGGTGTCTATCTAGAAGCCTGTAAAGTGACAGACGAAAGTCTTGGCTGCAGAGACAAAGCCCTGAACAGGGAGCATGAAGAGTGGATCTGACATTTATTGTTGAGGATGGCCAAGCAGTCTCAAAATACAAATGTAAACAGCAGTCTGCATCCATGGAAACACATTTTCTACTTAATAAAAGTATTCTTGATTTTTAAAGAACACACTAAAATGGCGGTTTTAATTTCCGAATGTCAAATTCTGAGAGAATAGATTTTGTTTAAATGTATAGAACTCTGATAGACAAAAAACAAAAACAAACAACAAAAATTCTTCCTTACCTCCCACATGTACACATTATTCTTGACCTGAGATCTTTTTTTCTTATCACCGACAAATGGTCCAAACTTTTTGCCTTTTAAAATTGGTTTAGTGGCCCAGACACCTAGAAAAGAAAACCAGTGTCTTTATAATGTATGTGGTTACCCTAAAATCTGAAGCACCAGTGTGCTCTCTCTCTCTCTCTAGAGCACACCTGTGCCTTCCCCACCCCCTTCTTTCCTTAGGTCCGTATCTTTCGCTTTCTTTCTCTTAAGTTCCAAAGGCCCTTCTTTTGCTTCTGTAACTTGTTTTCTGAGTCAACACAGCCCAGCTGGCTCACTTCTTCTGTCTCTGTGACTTTTTTTTTTTTTCTAAAAAGCTAAATAAACGTCATGTACTCAAGTTCTTGGCTCTGAATTCTGTCTTTGCCAAACTCAAGAACCAAGTCTAAGAGTGCCACTATATCATCTGGAGCTGTGACTCAGATTATCTTACCACCCTTCTCAGTGTACAAAGGGAAAGAAAAAAAAAGATTGAAGCACTAAAATCAATTCAGTTTCACAAAATAGTTAAAAGGTTACAGCCTAAATGCAAGATAATGTTAACTCAACTAAGAGCAAACTAAAGCAAATTAACTCAAATCTTCAAAAGTGATTTTTATTCTTTATATTCTATATTTTCTAAATAGTCTCTAAAAAACCTATTTTGTTTTATAATAAAAATGTTTCATATATTTGCTTGTTTTTAATTTTTACATGTAAAATTAGCTGGACAGTACAATCACAAATACTTGGAAAATAGCACAATTAAAGAGAAAAATACTGGAATGTAGTCAAACTACAAATAATTTTTTTAATATATTTTATTGATTTTTTACAGAGAGGAAGGGAGAGAGCTAGAGAGCTAGAAACGTCGATGAGAGAGAAACATCGACCAGCTGCCTCTTGCACACCCCCTACCGGGGATGTGCCCACAACCAACGTACATGCCACTGACCGGAATCGAACCCGGGACCTTTCAGTCCGCAGACCAACGCTCTACCACTGAGCCAAACCGGTTTCGGCACTACAAATAATTTTTAAACTCTTCTATATTTCTACATATTTAAATGATCTCCAATAAACATGTTACTTTTAAAAAGAGTTATAAATATAGATTGTTTTAAATAAATAATTTTGAAGTTTGTTTGTTCAAAGTGAAAAACCCTCTCCTCACTGTTTCCTAAAATCTTGCTTTGCGGAATTCCAAACAGCCGAGAAGTATGCTGTTCGGTGGTGTTCCTAAGGGTGTTTCTATTTCCTCTGAACTGGCCACAGCAGACAGGCAGTGACGCAGCCTGGCTAACCTGAGAGTCCGGGGAACCGGTGCCCAGCAGTGCTCTCACTGACAACAGGTCCCCTCATCTCTGGCCTCAATTTCCTCACATACAGGACGGTGGCATCTCAGCCAGTCCTGTGCAGCTAAGATGTATGAATCCCACTTTTCTGTAAGTCTGCTATGAATCCTGTTTGATAACACAGCTAATGATAAATTAGTGGAACTATAAAATCAAACACTTTCATGTGAATGATACAATTTAAAAGTTACTGAATAGGTTCCAATGAGGATTAGAAAAAGCATTTATTAAAAATTTATTCACACACACACACACATTATAACATCAAAAGCACATCTTTAAAAAAGAAAACAGGATATAAACATGACTGTACTTTGACTAAATTTTTATCATTTACTTCCTTAGCCTTATGACCAAAGATTAAAACACAAAAATAAGATCAAACACACAAGATGTATGTCCACCCTGGATTCTTGACTGGAAATTGCATAAACACCACATAATCTTCTAAGTCAGAGTATAAATTGTTGCTTTTATGGTGAGCTCCCTATCATAAGAGCCCCAAAGGGAGTCTGCCTGCAGCCTGCAATCCCCTCCCCTGCTCCTTCTCCGGCCGTCACTCACCAATCCGAGTCTTGTCCACAGCAGATGGGAAAAGCCTCACTTCCTCGGGAAGTCCTCGGAGCACATGCTCAGGTACCTCGGCCAGGGTCTCAGCGGTTGCCACAGGCTCAGTAGCGTTCTGCAATTCAAGAACCAGAAGGATCATAGCAAAACGAAGAAATCCCAGTTAGCATTTTGTTTTTTTCTGGTCCAATAAGCAAATATGCAAACATGTAACTGAAAACTAAATCTGGCAAGCCAAGCCCAAGACCAAGAGCATGATGTCAAGCACTTCAGAGTTGCTTTGATGTCTGTTTGTGAGTCTCCAGAGGAAACCACTGACCTTCAAACATGTCTTTGTTAATCTGTTTTGTTCCAGCCACCCACAGCCATTTTCAAAATATGTAATCTCCAGAACTATATTGCTTTAAACTCCCAGAGAATCAGGCAGCTTAAGCTTACACTTACTCCTAAGTCAGAGGCTTCCATCAGCATAGTAGAACACTTAAAAACTCACAATCAACACTCCTTATTAAATGAGTGCCTTCAGCACAGAATGTAAAGACCACAACGGCCAGCCGGACCCCATCCGATCCATGCTTTCATTCTCCCTGGCAGAGCCTTGGCTATTCCAACAAGAACACTATAACTTATTCTGGACCTTTATGGGGAGTGCGACTTTCCAAGAAACAGCAATTCACCACCATCTACCAAGTCACCACAATATCACACAGTCTCTAAGACAGACATTTGTATACTAACCAAAGTATATGTTCAAATTCACTGTAATCTTAAGAAATAAGATTACTATTAGATATGTATAGAAGGGGATAAAAGGGGAGATTGACTAGTAAGTCAACTGGTAAAACATGACTCTTATTTTACAAATAAATTTCAAGTCAAAGAGAAACCAAGCATCTGTTAACTGGTAACACATATATCCTAAAGAGCTCATGTGTGTATCATGACACCTAAGAATGCTGGGTTTTGTAGTCTGAGTGTTCTTTATTTCACTGCAAAGGGAAACATTCCCCAAGAACTTTCAAAGAAACCAACGTGGGCAAGAAGCAAACTCTAAGCTAAAAAGATTAATTTTCCCACAACAATCAAACTCTTGTAGTTTTTAAGAAAGTTTTGTGCCAAGAAAAGAATATCATTCAAATTTGAGTACTCCCAGAATTTCAATTAAAAAAAAAAAACCTACCAACAGGCTGCTTCATGAGAAAGAAATCCCACAGCAACGAGCAAGTCCCAACAAAGGTGTCTCTGGCCTGCTGTCTGCTGTGAGCTGCATGCAGGCACTGAAGACCTGGGCACCTGCCTTGGATGGAGTAGTGGACAGTGCATATGCCTCAGAAGCTTTGGCCCAAACACAATTTAAGTGCCTTCCAAAGCATGGGAATACCAAATGTGCTCCAGAAAATGACCCTTTGGCATTTTTAATTAGCTAAAGTATAAAAATTTCTCACTTCTAAATATAGTGCCAGTTTTTAAGATTTTAATCTATAAACTAGAATTATGGAAACGTGAATAAATTTCAAAGCAGAGAAAGGTATAAAATTGGTAGTTGGTACCCTAGGCCAGAGTTCAGCAAACCACGACTCGCGAGCCATATGTGGCTCATAAGCCACAGTTTGCAGCTCTGCTGACTAATGAGATTGCCGACCAATGGAATAGACTAAATGTTACCATGTAGTTGGAAGCTGTGATGATTATGCAATTGTGGCTTATTATGTGCAAAGAGGTAAGGGTAGTATATGACAGTGGTTGGCAAACTCATTAGTCAACAGAGCAGCAAACCACAGCTCGAGAGCCACATGTGGCTCCCGAGTCGCGATTTGCCAACCACTGCCCTGGGCTATATAATAGTTATTTTTTAACACTGATAAATTATGCAATATTAACAAGTACTAGCCCAAATTCTGAGTCCTATCACTCCCAGTAAGAGAGAGGACACCTAAACAAGGATTTTAAAGAATTTGACATCATCTAACCTCTCCAGGAGCTTTGAGAAGACAGTGTCAGCTAACCTGCACTGATACTTCCAGACACTACCACAGTAATACTAACCACTTACCATGTACTCAGAAGCTCCCCAGGATGCCTTGAAGGGCACTGTGCTAACCATCTCACATGCATTGGCAGAGTTTACTCATGTCAGTGCCTCCTCCAGACAACACACACAAACATACATGAAGAGGCCTAGGGAAATCGTCTAAGTGGCTCAGGGCCACAATTTGAACCTTGTTTGTCTGACCCCAAAGCCCAAGCTCATAACCACTGTGGTGTTTCCAGTTAAGATTCTGCTAGTTTAGGTTTGCGCTTCTAATGCAAAACATGATGACTACAGTTGATAACAGTTACTGAATGAAATTTGCAAAGAGAATAGAACTTAAATGTTCACACATACACACAAAAGGATAAATATGATGAGAGGTGATGGATATGTTAACTGGAAGGTCTGAATGCTTTCAAAACATAAATGTATATCAATTCACTACAATGTGTAATTTAAATATCTTACAGATTTATTTGTCAATTATATCTTAATGGAGCTGGAAAAAAAAAAAAAGATTCTGCTGGAATATAACCTAAGAACATCTAGCCTAAAACCTCCAAATGTCCGCAGAAATCTCAGCAGAAGATGGTACCTAAGACAGAATGGTCATTCCCACAGGACATCTGTAACATCAGTATAAGCTCGAGACCAGGAATGTTAAAATTGGTGAAACACCGTGAATAAAGGACCGCAGCAGAGCTGCCCCAGGGGAAAGAAATAAGGAAAATCCCTACACTTTTATTTACTTGCTTTCAGCCACCCACTGTTTATAATTTGGGCTCATTTACCTAGTTGAGAAAAGCTAGTTGTTTATTTTACAACCCTTTACCCTTTAAACTAGAATGCAATTCAATTTCTATCTCTACGCAGCCACCCAGCCCTGGCAGCCCCAAGGCCTTCCTCTCGCCTCTCGGGCTGTCGGAATCTCCCCTGCATGGAACATTTTGAGAAAATCAATGATTCGAGAAGCAGAAGGTGGGTTGGCCTGTCCAAGAAGAACCATCCTCTCCCCTTCCTAATTTTCCCTTCATCGGTCTTATCAGAATTTTAAACAATTATTTGTATAATTTAAGTTTAACGTACCTCCCCATCAGAGTACAATAAAGACATTGTGTAGGAGACACAAAATGTTTGTCACTTAAATACTTGAATGACTAAGTGATTCCTGTAAGCTAACAAACCTTTTTTAGAAAAAGGAGGGATAGTAATAAAATAGCAGGATCATCTATCAGAAAGCATTTTCTCCATGTGTGCCTGAATTTCTTGCATCTGAGATAAGTGTTTTCCTGGGTTAATACAAGAACCCCTTTTTGGAATATGTGATATGTTCTCAATTTCAAGAAACCAATTTATAAAGTAAACCTTTGAAACAAAAAAAAGGTTTAAGAAATCTCTCCCTCACACATTCAATAAGCTGGAATCTTTTTTGCACATATCTTGATAGTATCAGATGTAATATATTGTAAACAGGGTCATATATCTTGGTCCCAGATCGATTTTGTCTACAAGACATTGCACTATCTAATCATTTAATTTAGTAAGATGTTTCTAGGCCCCTCCTATGGGCCAGACAATGTTTCAGGCATCACATTTGTCTTAACAATGTTTCCCTCTAGTGAGGAAGGCAAACAAAATCAAAGATATACCATGCCTGGTAGATATTGATGCTCTGAAGCAGTGTTTCCCAAACTTTTGACATATGTGTACCCCTTGTATAATTTTCGTAACGCTCATGAGAACGTAGAATTAGGCGCAGCTAAGCACGGTGCAGTGCATATCCCCACCAAACTCCGATGCAATGCGTACCCCCACCAAACTCTTCCTGTACCCCTGGGGGTACAGGTACCACACTTTGGGAAACACTGGTCTAAAGGAAAACCAAGCACAAGACAGACAGTCATGGAGAGGGTGGGGTGCTACTTTAGACAGGGTGCTCAGGGAAGACCTCTCTACACCTAAGAAGAATCACGCAATGATACAGGGTGAAACATGGCAGGAAAGTGAACCAGCACGGACCACTGCTGAGTTAGGAAAAAGCTAGGTGTGCTCAGAGAAGAGACACCAATGTACTAGAGCAGAGAAGGTGAGGAAGGCGGGAGTAATAGTACCTTAGGAGAAATGTATCACCACTTGCTGATCTACACAGAAGGAACCAACCACAGACCAGGCTGCAAGCTCTAGGAAGGAACCTGGCTATTCCTTTCCCAGGACCCCATCCTTGCTGTCCCAGAATAAAGGCACATCCGCATTTTAAGGCTTTCTAACACTGATCACTGTGACAAGTATGCAGGAAGCTGCAATAGGAAACACAAGAGCTCTTTATTTCAATGAACTGATCTGGAATGGTATGTATTAAATGTAACTAACACACTAAATTTAAGTTAATTTAATTAACATACCTAATTCCATAAAGTACTTAGTTATTAACTATTAATTGATCTTATTAATTTGATTGATGTCTCCTACTTTTTACCTCAATCTCAAATGTAGTTGATACTCACTCCCCCAATAAATGGCCAAGCAGCCCCCCTGCACTCAGTCCACCCTCAATGATGAACAAACACTCCTGGGGGCCTGCTCAGCCCTGTGCTGAGCGATGAAGAAACGATGGTTAGTAAAGCTTATCTGGCCCCCTCCCCACAAAGCTCACCGCCTAAAGGAACTGCTCTTCTCCTGCTTCCAGCACACAAAAACCTTAGAGCTGATTCTCCAGTTCCTCCAGCTGGAGCATCTGAAAGGCCCCTCTGCTCTTCCTCCTAACACCTTTCCTCCAGCCCGGGATGACTATGCTCTGCCATGCTGGGGGTGCAGGAGATCTTAGCGAGTATGACATTTATTCCTTCCTCTGGGCCAAAATCTATGCTAAGCACTGTCCATGCACTGCCTCACAATCACAAAGCTAACACTGACCAAGCACTTTATGCATTACCTCATTCAACTTTACACTACCACTCTGGCTGTAAGTTTATGATCCCCTTTTTACAGATGAAAACTGAAACCTGCCCGTAGCTGCATTAATGAGTGGCAGAGCCCGGGTACAAACCCAGTCAGGCAGGCTTCGGGGTCTAGACCCAAATACG